TAATATTTATTTGTATTGTTATTGTTGTTATATACTGTTGAGTTGCTTGTAACCCATTGTGACCTTATGTACACAGCAGCTCTGAACTCTGCTCTGTCCTGAGCCAGTCTCACTAATACCAACACACCAACCCCATTGCCCCAGTTACTATATCAATGCATCTCATCCATGGTCTCCCGCTCCTGAGATGTCTGTCCACCTTTCCAAGCATGATGTCCTTCTCCAAGGACCAATCTCTCCTGGCCATGTGTCCAAAGTATGTGAGACAAAGCTTTAAAATCCAAAGTATGTGAGATGGAGCCTTCAAGGAGAAACTTGGTTTCAACCTCTCTAAGACAGATAGATTTGTTTCCTTGGCAGTCCATGGTGTATATTTAAGACTCTTCTCCAATACTACAACTCAAAGGTATCAATGACAAGATGCTTTTTCTCCTTGTGTGTAAGAGGATAGTGCTTGTGAGGTGGTGCTCTGAACTACTAGGCTGAATTCTGTATAATGTGTAGGTATCAGGAAGCAGGAAATGAATTCCCCCAGCAGAACAAATCTCTCCTGATCCTAGTCTAGATATATTTCCTTAACTTTGCGTTCCTTCTTTTTTTTTTTTTTAATCACATCTAAATTGACTGACTCTTTGCCCTATTTATCAAGTTTTAGGTTGTTTGCTCCATCTAATTCAAAGGGATAGCCAGATCATCAGCAGAATTTGTATTAGATACAGGATGCCTTTTGCTGGAGTTTTCCATTGAAGTATGAATCAAAAGAACCCTTTCTGCCTTGTAGGGAAGACATTAATGCATGAGCATTTCTGTTTTGAAATTTTTCAAAAGTAAACAGTAATTAGGACTACAGTAATTTTAGTTGATTCATATTTTGAAAGTGCATATTTCCTGTTAATCTTACTTTAAAGAGAATTATTTATTATAGAAAAACTGGTCTGTCTTACCCCTCCCCCCCCCAATTTTCCTTTCCAGGGAGATCATTAGCTTGAAATTTTAATTTCATTTGACTTCTGAAATTGGAATCTCCTTACAGGGAACTGAAGTTATTTCCTGTGTACTTGGTTTTGTGCATTTGGTTTGAGATTTGATTTTCCATCATTTGTTCTATGTGTTCTAAAAACATAGAAATATTTGTGGCATGGTTTCTATTAAACTCTGAAAGAGATAGCTCTGTAAAATTTGACAGGTAAGTCTCTGAAATACATAGAACCCTATCATGTTAAGCTTGATATTCTCTGTTATTTATCCTATAATATTTAACAGCTTACAGCATACCTAATGAGTAGCTAAACCACTTTTGAAGTGTTCCAGGCTTATTTTGATTTGTAATTTTATTTTTTCCATAATTAGGTCTGGAAATTACAATTACAATATTCCAGTTAATAAGCACACACCTACCAATGTCAAATTCTCTCTGGAAATCAAGTAAGTGCCTAACTTTATAGTTTTACAGTTGATTGCATAGTAAGTCTGAATGTTCTCCGCAATTGATCAGAAAGTTGGGAGTTAAAAGGTCTCAGTGTATCGTAACTGATGATGGCTGAGTTGGAAGGTGGGTCCTGTACTAGGAACCCTTTAATGCAGTGAGGCTTCTCTGGCCTCTTCGCTAGATCTGTCAAGGGGATGACCTTGGACTTGATGTTCTACAGACAGCCTCAGCCTCTTCCCTTTGAGTTGGAATGAGAATAAGAACAATAGCTTTGTCTCTAGATGAAAGATCACTTATTTTGGTGAAATTGGATCATAATGCTAATGTGGACAGCATCTCTTTCCCTAGGGCAGAAGGAAAAAAAAGGAGCCAGAGTTTGAAACTGGTCAGACTAGTAACAAAATTTTGTGCTTGTTATTTGTTAACTGGGTGATCCTAGAAACCCCAAACCCAAATCCACTCCCATTGAGTTGATATGACTCATAGCTATCCTCTATCATTTTCCAAGGTTGTAAATCTTCACTGGAAGAGTGCCTATCTTTTTCTCATGGAGTGGCTGGTGATCTTGGAGAAGTTCTTGTTTTTTTCTGAGCAGTATTTCTTCATTCAGAAAATGAATATGATGTTATATCACAAAATATATAGCTTCTATTAATAATTACTGCTAATAGTAGTGAAATTAATAGCTGCCTTTTTTTTTAAAGCATACACTGTATACCAGATATTTTGCCTTAATATTTTGCGCTGAGTCACATAATCATTACAACCGCCCTCTGAGGCTGGTTAACATGCTTACTTGCCAGAACCACTAGTTTATGTGTTTGCTTTTTTTTTTTTTCAGATAAGAATCCTTGGGATTTAATGGGTCTGACAACTTGTCTCAAATTTCACTGTTATTATGTGATGGATTTGGGCTTGAAACTTAACATGTGGTTTTAATTATCATTCTTCTGTCTCTTAATTGAATTAAGACATGTAAGGACTTTGACCATTCATGGCATGTGGTAGGCACTCAATAAATGGTAGTTAGGATTAGGGAGCTCTGGTAGCCTAGTGGTAAGAATCTGTGCTGTAATCCTGAAGGCACATGGTTTGAATCCACCAGCTGCTTGCTGGGAGAAAGAGAGACAATCTCCTCCCATGTGATTAACTGCCTCTGGAAACCTGCCGGAGGGTCAGCTGTGGGTCGTTCTGACTTGAGGCTTCATGACAATAACATTAGGATTACCTTTCCACCAAAAGTGAGCTCTGGTGGCAGCAGTTCAAAGATGCTTAGCTGATAAGTGAAAAGTAAGCTGGGAGCTCACCAGCTGCTCCAAGGGAGAAAGATGGCAGTCCGCCTCCAGAGAGATCTGTAGTCTCGGAAATCCTATGGAGCACTAGTACTCTGCCCTACAGAACCATTGTGGGTTAGAATCAATTCGGCGGAAATGGGTGGGCTTTTCCACCCAAATCACACAACCCTAATTTATTCTCTTGAACTATTTTAGATAATTATGATCTAAATACACTTTTAGACTTTTAATAAATATGTTTTTGTTGTTGTTGTGTGTTCTGTAGAGTTAGAACTTACCCATAGCTGACCCGCTATTCAGAGGCAGTAAATTGCACGGGAGGAGATTGCCAATCCTTCCCCTGTGGAACAGCTGGTAGATTAGAACCTAGTGCCTTGAGAATTGCAATGCAGTTTCTTGTCACTAGGCCACCAGAGCGCCCTTAATACGTATACTTAAAAAAGTATGCAGTGATCCACTCAGCAGGAAATGTTTGTTATTGTTGCTGCTGTGTGTCAATTCTATTTCTTTTGTGCCTTTTTATTTTATTCTTCTTTTATATCCTCCCTATTTCTTTTATTCCTCTTTCCTCGGTCCACCCATTCTTCTTCTGCTTCTCTAATTCCATTATTCTTCTTAATGATTTTCCATACTCTGTCTCTTCCTCTATTTCAGTCAGACTTAATAATCTTTATCAGTTGTGCTTCTGTAGAGCGCTAATAATGTTCAACTCCACTGCTTACCTTGGAAAGGTTTGTTTTGATCAGTAATATTTCATGACTCAGAATCTTCTGTATTTCAAGCAGAAGTGGAACATACTATTCTTGAAAGTTAAATGTACTACTCTGCGGTCCTTGAGTAACTTTGAATAGCATGTCCTCATTTGTTCATAAGGGAGGGAAATTAGCTTACATAGTATTTTTCTGAATTGGCAGAAAACCATCTTGAGCCTTTTCATGAAGGAACCACTTTTCTAATATGGATGAATTAAAAATAACACATATCCTCGATCCTTGGCTAAAATTTTTAGGTTATTCTCACGTGCACACAAGAATAATTTTTTAAGACAGACTGGTTTCATCTTTTTGGTCATAATTAGTGGGCTTACCACCTGAGGAAGAGAAACAGCCTTTCTCCCAGGACTTCCACTCTGTGATAGTTTTGCTGGCTGGTAAATTAGGGTATGACTCACCCCTTTGTTCCTACCTGTTTGTTTGCCTTGCTGCTTCCAGTAATATCTTTCCAGACCAGAAATTGGAAGAATCTAAAATACTGAAAGCATCAATAGATACAAATTCAGTTGCAGTGAAAAAAAATAAATGGACAGGCCCTCAAATTATTTTTTAAAATGTATGGCAATGAAGAGTTCTGATATTGAGCTGGTTTAAGGCGTGAGAGTTGCCTTTAGAAACTGGTGTATGCTATCTCAGTAGTCATCTGAGATGGGGTTTCTTTCTGTAGTGAGATGTGAGCCTGCACATTGGTATCAGTGAGTCTGTGTAATCGAATGCCTATTGTCAAGTTTGAATAGATTTCTATGCTACATTCCCATTAGTCACTCTTTTAGTGATATGTAGCCAAGTAGGAGCTGGTAACTGCATTTCCATTTGCCATTCTTTCCTTTGTCTCTTGAAGCACAACAGAGCCATTGATAGTCTTCCAGTGCAAATTTACCCTTGGAAATATATGTTTCCACAGTAAAAGGGAGGCCAAAGGGATCCAGAGTCACAGGGAAATCTCCCAGGAGATGACACAGGTAATGCTTTCCCGGATTTTCTCATTTCTTGACTCTCTGTCCTATTATAGATGGAAACATGTCTAAAGATATGGTACAGTGTGTGTTTACCTCTGAGAAGTGTTAGTAACTGCTACGTAGTCAGCCCTTACTCATAGTGAATCTCATGCATGGTAGAACTGACGTGATCTGGGCCCACACACTCTTTGTCACTGTTAATATGCTTGAGTCCTTTGCTGTGGCCATTGTGTATTTTGAGTGCCCTCCAAGCCCTGGGGGTTTATCTTCCAGCATCATAATGGGTAGTTGCTGTTGTTGTGTGCTGCCAAGTTATACTTGGAATTGGCTCACAGCTGACCCTCCAGCAGGTTTTCAGAAGTGGTAACTCACATAGGAGGAGAATGCCCATCATTCTCCCACAGAGCATCTGGTGGATTCAAACCACATACTTTGGAGACTGCAGTGTAGCTTCTTACCATAGACCACCAGTGCTCCCTGTAATGCACAGTAGTCTCTTACAGTTCATGAAGTTTTCATTGACTAAGTTGTAAAAGCAGATCCTAAGCCCTTTCTTCCTAGTCCACTGTAGACTGTAAGTGTCACTAAAACTTACCACCATGGGTGACCCTAATGGTATTTGAAATATTAATGGCATCATAGCCACTCACAAAATACCACAGTAGAACAAACTGACCATCAGCCAAATGCCAATCCCCCCCCGCCCCTTTGCTGGTTGATCCTGGTCTCGGAGTTTTTCTCAGCATCTCTCTTGTGTCTTTAAGATGATGTAAAGTAAAGGAATTAGTATATGAAAATCAAGAAAAAAACATTTTTTTAAAAAGATAATGTAAACTGTTGAAGCCCTTCTTATCCAAAGCTATTATTACAAATAAACCACCAACTGTAAAGAAGGAAAAACTCCTTTTCAATTGAGTGTTAAACGTGGTTATGCAATGGGTCTTTCTTTCCTTATTTAGGGCTATCAGCACATTTGGAATCTTCCCGTAGCTCCTTTCTCTGACAGTGCATACCATTTTCGTGTAGCTGCACCGGTAAGTCACCTTCTTGTTCTTTTCAGTGAGAAACAGACTAAAGAACGATATACCTGTATCTTTGTATCTATCTATACACTTTAACTACAGTAAATACGTCTATTAATCTGTCTCTTCTTTCTTCTGGCAGGATTTAGCTGACTGTTCGACAGATCCTTATTTTGCTGGGATATTCTTTACAGATTACTACTTATACTTCTATCGACGCTGTGTCTAATTTATTCAAGTGTGGCTGGGAAACCTACGAAAGAAAAACACGCATAAGACAGTTAAATGTTCAAGACACTCACATTTATTGCTCAAGGACTTTTCAGCCTTTGGCTTCCAATAGCTTTGGGACATTAATAAAGAGAATAAAAAAATGTTTGCTGAAACTCAAGATGATATGGTGTTTGAGTGTTCCATGACTATAAAGAAAACTTTCCCTGAAGTAAACGGTACTCTTGGATTTGAAAATACTGCTTCTGCAAATAAGGAAGCACTGAGGTCAGAACTGAAAGTTGTAATTTTACTTTGCTTGGTGTATTTCAAAGCTTTGGAGAAACATGAAGGGATCCGTTTCAGCTGGATCACCTTGGCCTCATTAAACAAGGGCTTCGTTAACAATGTGTAATGTAATTGGGGGTGCAAAGTAGGTGATTCTGACACTGAGTTCACGTTTAAGCAAAGCATATTTCTGTGTATGTGTGTATACACAACACGTTGTGGTTGTTCTTAGGTGCTGCTAACTACAACTCATAATTTCCCCATGTACAACAGCCCTGAACCTTGCCCAATTATCTCTTGCCCACCATCTCTGATATGCTCAATTTCACTGTTGCAGTCACTGTATCAACCCATCTCATTGAAAGTTTTCCTCTCTTTCTCAGCCAGTTACCTTTCTCAGTATGACGTCTTTTACTATGGACTGGACCCTGCTGACAAAATGCCCATAACAGGTGAGACACAATTTCACCATCTTAGCATCTGAGGAACACCCTGGTGGTACCTCCTACAAGGTAGTTTTGTTTGTTATTTGCCAGTCCAAGCAATATTCAGTGCTCTTTGCCAAGTACCACAATTCAAAGGCATCTAGCCTTCTGTCATTTTTACTCACTGTCCAACTTTCAGATGCATTGGAAGTAATTGAAAATACCTAGGCTTAGTCTTTAAACTGAGCAGTCATTACTCTGACATATTGCTCTTTAGCACTTTGGAGAGATCCTTGACAGTGAATTTTTCCAATGCAACACGTCTTTTGGTTTCTTGACTGCTGTTACTATGGGTGTTGATTGTGAACCCAGGTAAAATGAAATTGTTGACAACTTCAAAAATTTTTCCACCTATCATGATGCTGCTTCTTGGTCCAATGGTGAGGATTTTTGTTTTCTTGACATTGAGATGTAGTCCATAATCCATGTATTCTTTGATCTTCTGCAGCAAGTGTTTCAAGGCCTCTTGACTTTCTACAAGAAAGAGTGTTTTGTCTGCATATTGCAGATTGATGAGTCTTCCTCCGGTCCTGATGGCACGTTTTTCCTCATAAAGTCCTACTTCTGGAATGATTTGCTCAGCATATAGATTAAATGTTGTTGTGTGTAATCAAGTTGGAACTAATAGTTCATCTTCCACTGGATTTTCAGAGACAGTAAACTGCATGGGAGGAGACTGCCCATTGTTCTCCCATGGAACAGCTAGTGGATTCGAATTTGTGTGTCTTTGTGATTTCAGTGTGAGTTCTTACCATCAGAGCTCCCTATAGATTGAAATAGGTATGAAGAAAAGATACAACCCTGACACACATCTCTCCTGTTCTTGCATCATGCATTTTTTCCCCTGTATACATTTTGCATGAGCCCAATTAACTCTTCTGGAATTCCTCTTCTTCTAAATGTTATCCATAATTTGTTCTGATCCAATAGTTAAGTGCATTTGCATAGTCAATAAAGTACAAATAAGCATCTTTCTCTGACACACCTGCCCCCATTACTTCAGTCACTGAGTCAATCCATCTCATCTAGGATCTTCATCTCTTGAGTTGTCCCTCTGCCCTTCCAAGCATCATGTCCTTTTCCAAGGACTGGTATGTGAGACAGAGTTTCAAAATCCTTGCTTCCAGGGAGTGGCCTGGTTTCACCCACACCAAGACATATCTATTTGCTCTCTTACTCTGTCCCTCCACCCTTCCTAGCCTTCCCAGCATGATATCCTTCTCCAGGGGCCGATCCCTTGCGGCAACATGCCCAAAGTATATGAGACAGAGATTTAAAATTCTTGCCTCCAGAGAGCAAATTGGGTTTCACACTCTCCAGAATAGACCCGGTTTTTTTTCCTGGCAGTCCATTGTATGATAAATACTCTTCTCCAGTACCACAACTCAAAGGCATTGATTTTTATCTATCCTCCTTAGTCATTGTCCAGCTCTCTTATGCATAGCAAGTAATTGCGAAGACCATGACCTAGATCAGGAACATATCAATCTCTAGACTGATATCATTGCTCTTTAATACTATAGAGAGGTCCCGGACAGCAGATTTTCCTAAAGCAATCAATCTTTTGATTTCCTGGCTGTTGGTACCAAAAGTACTGATTGTGGAGCCAAGCAAGTTGAAGCTGTTAACAATTGCAATCTCTTCTGCATCCATCATGAAGCTGCCGGCTGACCCAGGGGTGAGAATCTTTGTTTGTTTGTTTGTTTTTTTATGTTGAATTTCAATTAATATTGAAGGCTTCAGTCCTTGATTTTTCTGCAGCAAATGCCTCAGGTCCTCCTCAGTTTCGGCAAGCAAGGTAGTATCATCTGCATAATGCAGATTGTTAATAAGGCTTCCTCCAATCCTGAAATCCTGATGCCACATTCCTCCACATAAAGTTCAGACTCTTGGATGATCTGTTCCTCAAATAGATTGAAAAGGTATGGAGATAGGATGCATACTTGACGTACACCTTTCCTGAGTTTGAATCATGTAGTGTTTTCTTGCTCTATTCTGATGACTACCTCCTGGTCCAAGTATAGGTTTCACATAAGCACAATCATATGCTCTGGGATTCCCATTTTTCTCAAGGTTAGCCACAATTTGTTGTGATCCACACAATCAAATGCATTTGCATCGTCAGTGAAACAGACAGACATTCCTCTGGTACTCTCTGCTTTCAGCTAAGATCCATCTAATATTGGCAACAATATCCCTGGTGCCAAGACCTCCTGTAAATCCAGCCTGTCTGTTCCAGTAATTTTTTGGATAATCTTCAGCAGGATCTTGCTTGCATTATATTAATAATATTGTTTGTTAATTTCCACACTGTTGGATCACCTTTTCTTGGAAGTGGAAGAAATATGCATCTCTTCTTGTCAGTTGGCCAGGTAATTGTCCTCCAGATTGTTTGGCAAACCTGGTGAGCGTATCCAGGGCAGCATCTGTTTGTTGAAATATGTCAACTGGTTTGCTGTCAATTCCTGGAGCCTTGTTTTTTGCCCCTTCCTTCAGAGCATCTTGAACTTCCCCCTTCATTACCATTGGCTCTTGATCATATGTTGTTTCAGTAACTTGTGTGAGTCAATTCTTTTTGGTATAGTGACTCTGAGTACTCCTTCCATAGTTTTTTTATGCTTCCTGAGTCATTGAGCATTCTTCCCACAGCATCCTTAAGTATTGCAACTTGAGCTTTAATTTGTTATTCAATTCCTTAGTCATTGGCAGTAATAATTCTCTTCTTTCTTATTTTCATATTTTATTAAACCTGTTCCAAAGTGAAAGAATCTTCAAACCCAGTCATATTGAGTTGACTCTGATACTATGAATCTTTGTTAGAGGAGACTGCCCATCTTTATTACATAGAGCAACTGATGGATTTGAATCACTAAATTTTTTGTTAGTAGTCCAACACTTTATAGAATACTCTACTAGGGTTCCTTATCCATGTGCCAGGTGGATGAAAAGTACTTGGAAGACTCCAGCTGCTAAGAAGAGTAAATTCATGATCCTTGCTGTCATGGAAGGCCTTGTTAAATAAACTTACTAATACAAGCTAGTTAAACTACTAATGGCACAAATGCTCAAATACTCATCTGTTGTTGTTTGTTGTTGTTATGTGCCATTGAGTTGCCTGCGACTCATAGCAACCTTATGTACAACATCCCTAAACCCTGCTCTATCCTGTGCCAATTGCACTGCCTCTGACACACCCATCCCAATTACCCCAGTCACTGAATCAATCCATCTCATAGAGGGTCTTC